TTTTTGTCACTGTTTGGCCTTTACTAACCCCAGGACACTGCCTCATTTGTGACCCACCTGGTTCAGCCTTCAGAAGGCGGCCTGTCCTCTCGTCTCATCTCACCAGCTCACCCGTGTCTTTGTGTTTCCAGGAGTTCACAGGGGATGAGAGGGTGTCTTGGTGCATTCTGGTACTAGCATCCTGGCTCGCCTTGGGCATGGACATTTGTGTTAGCTGTGCAGAAATATCTCTTCAGATTATTAAATCCTAAAATGGTTATAAATGTTTGTCACCCAACTATAGCTCTGGTCTAGGAGGGGGCGCTGTGTCTGCAGCAGGGGTGTCCAGTCCTGGTCCAGGAGGGGTCAGTGTGTCTGCAGTAGGGCTGTTCAGTCCTGGTCCAGGAGGGGGCGCTGTGTCTGCAGCAGGGCTGTCCAGTCCTGGTCCAGGAGGGGTCAGTGTGTCTGCAGCAGGGCTGTCCAGTCCTGGTCCAGGAGGGGTCAGTGTGTCTGCAGCAGGGCTGTCTAGTCCTGGTCCAGGAGGGGTCAGTGTGACTGCAGCAGGGCTGTCCAGTCCTGGTCCAGGAGGGGTCAGTGTGACTGCAGCAGGGCTGTCCAGTCCTGGTCCAGGAGGGGGCGCTGTGTCTGCAGGTTTTCCTGGTCTCTAGAACAGGACCAGCTGAAGAGTTACTGGAGTTAAGACCAGTAATGAGCTGGTCGTTAAGTGCCGAGAATGAACCCTGCAGGACCAAAGCTGGACCCACCTGCTGCGACTCCTCTGAGCGATGAGCTGCTGTGCTCCAGTCGGCCTCCTCCCTCCTGCTGAAACCTGCCAGCGCTCCAGTCCATCACACACTAACGGGCTCAATTAGCCGCTGCCGGAATGGGCTTTAACGAGCAGGGGGGGCGGGTGGTTGTCTCTGTCCGTCCTGCTGCCCCAGGCGGTGTCTGAAAGGGAGCCAGGCCTCCCTCTAGGAGGGGGCTCTGTGTCTGCAGCAGGGCCAGGCTGCTAAATGAAAGGCCCACCTTTTGCCACCAGGGGGCTCCACGCTGGCTGTGCAGGTCCCGCAGCGAAGCAGGGAAGAGAGCGGAGCAGAGCTGGCTGCCCAGCGCCGTTAACCCCTCCCCGCTTGTGTGAAACCTCTCTTGGTGGGGGAAAGCCCCAGAGTGGCGCCCCCTGGTGGCAGAAGCTGGGGATGCGCCAGAATCGACCGAGTGCACCAAGATCTCCTAGGGCTGCTCACACGCCGCTGTCTGGTCCTGTGTTTCACAGTGGCGGCTGGGGTTGTGGTTGT